AATACAAAATATATCGCTGCGACAGACCTAATAGATGTGGCGGTGGTGTTCTTCTTGCGGTGAATGGGAGCATTGAAAACTACGCTGTTGCAATAGACTCGGTTTTGGAGGCAACATGGTGTTGCCTCAACGTGGCTTTTAGAAAAGTTGTCATTGGCGTATGTTACCGCCCACCTTCAGGAAGTGCAAACTTTTGCAATGACCTACATGATTGTCTGAGCCATGTGAAGGTTTTGTTTCCTCGCGCAGCTGTGATTCTACTAGGCGATTTCAATTTCCCTAACATTGTGTGGTCAAATTCTTATTCATATTCCTTGCCTAACTCAGCGGAAGCGGAGCATTTTATTCGCATCTGTTCAGATTTTGGTTTCACGCAGCTTGTTAATTTCCTACGCGCGTTACCGATACTACGTCATCCATTCTTGATCTTATATTGACATCAGAACCAGATATTGTATCTTCAGTGTCCAATGTACCTGGTATCAGTGATCACGATATTATTCAAGCAAATATATTGCTGCCATTCTCACGCATGCGTAAGCAGCTTAAAACTATACGGGATTACAGAAAGGCTGACTTTGACTCAATTAACAAGGATTTGGGCACATTCCTAGATGAGTTCTTACCCAACTACCCTGAAAGATCGGTGCAGAGCAACTGGGACTTATTTAAAGCTAAAGTTTCAGAGCTAACCGTTAAACATATCCCTATAAAACAAGTTCTTTCCAATACACGTGCTCCATGGTACAACAGATACATAAACCGCCTTTCAAACCGTAAGAAAAGGTTTTATCGTGCTGCTGTCAAATCCCCGTCTGATAAACGTTGGTCTACTTACAAATCTGCTGCCACAACCTATTTATCTGAAGTGAAACGAGCTAAGTCTTCCTTTTTTAGTCACACTCTACCGGTTATGCTGAAAAATAACCCTAGACAGTTTTGGAATTTCATGCGTGGCAGCGAGCGCCGCGCTATAGCCTTGCTGACAGCTGAAGGGCATCCCGTGCCCGACGTAGAATGCGCATCTGTACTAAATGACACATTCATAAAAGCTTTCTCTCACCAGGCGACCATCAACAACCAAATCTCCTTGCCGTCACCCCATTACCTACCTATGGACGCTATCTTCGTTACCTCGGAAGGTATTCGTGCGGTCATTAAGAAACTTAAAAACTCATCATCATGTGGAGTTGATGGTATCAATGCTAAATTCCTGAAGAACACTGTTGAATACTCCTCTATTATCCTGTCATGCATTTTTTCACAGTCCCTGCAGCATTCTAGCCTTCCGGAAGACTGGCTGGTCGGTAAGATAGTGCCAGTTCACAAATCAGGGCTAACACACAATCCATCAAACTTCCGTCCAATTTCACTGACATCTGTCCCGTGCAAAATACTTGAGCATATCATTTTCACCCACCTTGTTAACTTTCTCGAGTCTAACCAGTTTTTCACACCCTCGCAACACGGTTTCCGCAAGAATTTTTCTTGCGAAACGCAGCTCTTAGTCTTTACAAACGACCTGCATGTCCTACTCGATTCTGGATTCACCATTGACTGTATTTTTTTAGATTATTCTAAGGCATTCGATAAGGTCAGTCATCAGTTACTACTTCTTAAGATGAAACACTTAAACCTAGACCCTAACGTGTTTAACTGGATTCGAGCCTTTCTTTCCAACCGAACACAGTTTGTTTCTGCTAACAATATTGATTCCCCCGTCCAGCCGGTGCTCTCGGGTGTTCCCCAAGGCTCTGTGTTGGGACCCTTACTGTTCTTAATTTTCATGAACGACCTGCCAACTAATGTCTCATCAAAGGTATGCCTATTCGCAGATGACTGTGTAATTTATCGGAAAATAACTAACCAAAATGATGTTACCTCGCTCCAGACGGATTTAAATAACATATTTACCTGGTGTCAATTATGTAACATGGAACTAAAGATTTCAAAATGCAAAGCAATGCGTGTGTGCCGTACCTCACATGCGTATCCAGATTATCATCTCAATGATACCCACCTCGAGTCTGTTTCATTTTACAAATACCTAGGTGTTCATATTTCCAGTAACCTGTCATGGAACCACCATGTGGAGCACATCATCGCCAAGGCTAACCGTTCTCTCGGGTATTTTCGCAGGAACTTCTACATGGCGCCCTCATCCCTTAAGAAACTTCTTTACACTACTTATATTCGTCCATCACTTGAATACGCATCATCCGTCTGGGATCCTGGTGGCACTACACTTACACATGAATTAGAAGCAGTCCAGAATCGTTCAGTTCGCTTCATTTTAGCCAATTATAACCGCACGGCCAGTGTTACCTTAATGAAGTCCCAGCTCAACCTTCCTGAACTCGCCATTCGGCGTAAAATAGCCCGACTCAGTCTCCTTCATAAACTTTATCATAGCAAAAATCTTCGTGAACAGTTTATTAAACCCCCCTCATTCATATCACCCAGATTGGACCATCTGCAAAAAGTTCATGTTCCCCGCTGCAGAACCGTAACCTATTCGCATGCCTTCATTCCAAGAACCACATCCGAATGGAATCTACTACCACAATCAGCTACGGCTATTACCGATACATCACGTTTTAGGGCCTTTTTGCAAAACATGTTTTGCGATGTTTGATTTTGCTTCGTGTTATATATGTCGTGCTTTTTTTTTTCAAAATCGTTGTCATGTATTCCCGCTGCTACATTTAATTCTTTGTTACTGTGTGTTTTTGCCAACCGCTTTGTATTTTCCCTTCTTTTCCTTTACGTTTTGCCGTTTGCTGTATTATTTTGTATTGCCACTCCCCTCTGTAATGCCTTCGGGCCCTGAGGGTACCATAAATAAATAAATAAATAAATAAGTAAATTGGATATTCCGTGAAGATGCTTAGCTTGTCGTGTTCTTCTAAGAACTTTCGGCATTTCAAGGTGTTATGTTATGAAGGAAGATTGGACCAAGGGCTTCAAAAACAACTTTCAGTTAGAGAGCCGCAGTTAACCAGCTGGCGGCTGCTTTAGCGCCCCCGGTCAGACAGGGCGTATTTTGTGTCCGGAACGCCAACTCCCGCACGGACTGAAGGCCCGAGGGTCTAGTCCAGTGATGTTCCGTGCCGGGATATTTACCTTTTTTGAGGAATTTTTAACCGTCATTTTGAGCCAAAGAAAAAAGGGAATCTTTGTGATATTGTAGAGGTTTCAGGAATGGTTAAACTTTTCTATGACGACTGATAATTAGTGGTCACAGCACTCCTTTATCTGCTGTAATTGGTTTTGGCGCATGCACAACGCAAACATAGCCTCGGTTGAGATTTGTTTTAGATAATTACTCGGAAGAATTTCTAGTTGACGATTGATGTTTGACTTGAACACCACAATGTGCTGTGTACTAACAATGTGCTGTGTGCTGTGTACTAATTTTCATGTCTCTGAATTGGAATTCTAGGAACATCACTGGCCTAGTCGCTGACGGCCAAAGGCCTCGGTGAGAATGCAGGAGCGAAGCCTTGTTGTTTGTGGCTCGCGGTTGTGCTTGCAGCCTTGCGGCTGGTGGCGGGACCATGGCGCTGAACGACATGTCTGGCAGAAAGGAAAAAAAGCTGCGACTAGGGTGAGGAAGAAAAGGTGACAGATAAAGGCCGTGCTAACTTTCAACAGGCCTAGCACCCGTGTAGAAAGTAATTCAAGTGGATCAGGCTTATTGATCGCTTCAGTATAGGCTTCATTTCAGAAGGCGTGATGTTTTCAGTCGACAAAATGAGTTTAATAATAACATCAAACAACAGAGCCAAACAGTGCACACATGACATTATACTGAAATGTATGAGACCTGGGCCTGATACAGGCCTGCATCAGGCCCGAGCCTGACCTGCTTCCAAAGCTCGCGGGCCTAAGTCCAGGCCTCGGCCTGATGTAACGATCCCTCACCCACCCTGGTTCCAGCTGGGTCAACGCGGGCAAGTCCAATGCTCTAGTGCTAATAGTAAGTTCATAGTTGAAATGAATACATACAGCGGTGCTATTCCAATGATTAATTGGGTTGGCAATATGCTGTGCTATCGAAGAGAGAACAACCAGAGAACACACTTGTGGTGCGTATTTTCTCTTGTCTCGTCTCATAATATTTTTTTATGGTAAAAACTAAGTATATCACTCAAACAAGGCAGATAAGTACACTTGCTGCGTCATTCAAGCACCAGCATTTCGAGACCTTAGTCATCCTAATGCATATTGCGTATTTTATTTTTGTGTTCAAAATTTTGCAAGTCCAGCATCTACACAATAATTGACGTCATGCCTAACCCTATGTTCCATAAACTGCACTTCTCAGCGTCTAACAACTGTCGTGGGAACAATAGCAACTCGGCCATTGGTGCAAAGAGTCCTCTAGAAATTTAACATGACGACTTCCAACGCAACTGCCTTATTATCGGAACAAAATTATCAAAGATCCTTCAACGCTCGCGTGCCGTAAACTTGAGCGTATTTCCCAATATACCGCTGAGGAGATGGTCAGGAGGTGCAATTCTGGAACCTTGCAACTTTGTTACCAGCGAGAAAGTAACCCACTAGCAATGGTCTTAAAAAATGAATGCCGCGCAGCGGTGACCACACGGCTTCATTGATAATTAAAAAGAAAACGAACAAAGTATGTATCAGTCAATAGCGAATATCATTGGAGCTTAAGGAATCTTAGTGATGGGTCAGGATTTCACGCATAATTAGGCTTTACGATTATTTCCCGCAACGATCATTTTATCATTCATATCCTGGTGATGTGGGTTGAAATAGCTGGGTCTTTATTATGTCAAGAGTATGAAAGCGAGCATTTAAAAGTACACAAAGGAGTTTGAAAATCGCGTAAAGAGAAACTTATAAAAAATCTGATACAGTATTTTCACGTACGCCACTTTGAAAATTTTTCTATTGTTGGCCCTCGTAACAATAATAAGGGTATAATAGGGCACTGAAGAGTCTTCCAAAACAGCTGTGCTCTTTGTATTGATGCAGCGGGAGACGTAATGCCTATTCATGTGTTTGTCTCAACGATAGCTAGTGTAAACGAGATGCCTATTCTCCTATTTGCAAAATTTGTTGTATAGCTCATCCAAGTTCTTAATGCTGGCTTGATCAAACGAAATCTAAAATTACCAGTTAACAAGGATTGAAAATGACAAGTTATTTTATAGTGGTGTTTTCCTATATTACAACGTGTAAGTTGGAGATTTCTTGTTGTGCCAAGTGAGGAATAATTGTTCTTTTATTGGAGCTAAAATATATCGGTAATTGTAATATAATACTTATAATATAGTATAATATTATCCAGGGTATTGCGAACCAGAGCCAGGATATTATTATGGGAGTCACCGTAGTGAATGTCTCCTAAAATTTTTACCATCTGGTATTAACATGATTGACATGGCACAGTTCACGGACCTCTGGATTGAAATGTGACCACCACGGCAGGTGTCAACCCCACAACCTTCGAGTCAGCAGCCGAGCAGAAACAGTATCACAGTGACAGAGTGGCAGAGAATTATAATAGAATGCACAAATTATTTCTCTACGCAAAGGTAGTTGAAATGGGCAGCACAAGACTACTGAACTATTTGTACAATTGTGACCCTCAAGCGAGTGCGCTCATTTAAATTTTTTAAATTATGTTAAACGTGAATTTTTTCAAATCAATAGTTTTCATCATAGTGGGAATAGTAAATATCAGGTATGCACAACAATATGTATTCCAGAAGAGCTCATGACGGCAATCGTGGAGTACTTTATGCATGGGAAAATTGTAACTCTGCATTATTCTGTGCATATGCGTGGATGACAGTACAACTGATTGAAATGTCCCGATAGGCAATTACAGCGCAATGAAATGTCCTGATAAGGTCTAAATATAGAGCTGATGTGGTCATTACAAGACTTTGATGGATAATGGCTCTCTTCGTACTCAACCTGACGTTGCGCACTAAGTCTTATATTTTCATGCGTCTATACTGGCATTTCTCTCGAGCGAAAAGCCCATGATGTCTCCCAGAAAACAAGGTTGGAGCATTGCGTGGCTTTTGTGGGTTATGTGTACTGTTAGCGTCGGAGTGTAATCGTGCGCGCCCAAACTTTATAGAAATCAGTAGGGGCATCATACCTTTGAGCGAGCTGTGTCCTCATGACTCATGACTTTACTGTGATTTAAAGTAATAGATAGTACGATGGTCGCTTCTTTGGCTTCTGTGGCCGCATTTCGTAATGAAAGAATCTCATTGGTTTGTATGGGGCCGCCTGCTAAATGGTTAGTTGGTAATGTCATCTGACATTTAAATTGTCAACCAGAGCATTCATCGCTTGGTGTTTGCGATGAAACTGTTACTTCTCGTGCCCAGAAGAGCACGCCAATAATTCGCATTCGAGGACATGTTTACTTGGTAAATAATAAATATACCAGTCCAACTCATGCAATGAGAGCTCTGCCTTGATCACTTCCTGCGAACAAGAACGTAGAAACAATATATATAATTTAACCGATCCAATATTTTTTCGAATGCAGTATTGTTTTCAATCATATAGCACATGATTGGAAACACCCCGTGTTGCTACGTGGAATATTATTAACGTGGAAAATACACAGATGTAACCACACTTCCTATACATAACAAACTGGTAGATCTACCAACACATGGCATTTTATAAGCCAAGCAAATAACCAATGGGGACATTTCTTTGTTCAATTTGATGTATGAAAGGCGTACCTGGGAGAGCTCAATGACATATTTCTGGAAAAAAGGAATATATTTTTTGAAAAAAGGCTTATTTTAGGCTCTTTGCATTAAACTATAACGCCATATAATGATCGTCGTCGAACAATTATATATTCAATTGGGAGTTCTATTGCTTTCCAGAAAAAATTTCGTGCCAATTGTCTAGAATAAAAACCAGGATACGTGGCTGCGTGTCACACTCGCAGCGTTGAAGTTTGTAGATAAGAGATTCTCTGAATACATAAAGAGAAACAAATACTCACTGTCGGTCCCTTTTTATATCTTAGAGTTCTGTGCGGCAATATAGAACAGCTAAATTTATTTGGTATCAGACGAAGTGTTTGGCTGTACTTCAATTTTCTGCATAGACATAAATAAATGCGTTGAAACATTTATTGCAGGTGATGCAATATTATTTAACCGGAACAGTAGCTGCGAAAATATTTCTATGGAAGAGCGCTACTTGCCACCAGCATCCGAAGATTATCCACCTTCCGAGGAGGAAGACCGTACGTTAAGCCTACGTGCAATAATTCAATCTCTTGTAAAATTGTTAACGTAATATTGGGTGACGAGGGAAGTAAGAAGTAAGAGCTTGTATGTTTAGCGAATCGCCGACGTATGAAAGTGGTCATTATATCCACCGCTGGTTGTACGGCTTGTTTGCTTTAAAGGGGTACTGACACAAATTTTCCCGTTTCTCATAGCGCATAGTATTGGTTCCCGTAAACTTGCGCATATCACCCACCAAATATGAAGAGGGAACGCAGTTTAGAAGGAGGTACATATCAACGATGAATTTGAGTTAGCGCGTCTGATTCCTCACTACGCACAACACCTCGCGACAATGACACTGCGCAAAAGGACTGGAAGGGCAGCCCAAATCTTTTCGACGTCACCACTGTGACCGAGCGCAAAGTTTCCCAGCGAAATCAAGACGTCATATTCACCACTTCGTTTTCGCCACGCTTGCGCTAACAGACAAGTGCGGCTGCTGCACGTGAGTACTTGCCATGGCGATTTTTTCACAAGTGACGATAATGATGAAGAAACGCACATGGGTCGGACAAGTAGTGCGTAGGCAGAGTAATTGCTAGTTATTAAGAGTAACTGGGGTTTCGAAGAGATGGAAAACACGTGAGGGGGAGACAGAAAATTATGTGGGCTGATGAGATTAGGGGGCTTGCATTTATAACCTGGCAGGAGAAAGTGCAGGACCGGGTTGGTTAATCCTGCACCAAAGCCTTTGCCTTGAGTGGGTGTAGTCAGGCTGCTGCTGCTGCTGATGATGATGATGCTGATGATGGTAGCGATGACAAAGACACGTGCGCTAATTGCACAATATGCATGCATATAGCACAGAATTGTGTCAACACTCTATGGGCCGTTTCACAGATTACTTGTTGTTAGTTGCACATGGCTGCTTTTTGTTGTCGGAGCTCTTTCATACAGAAGCTGTGACTGATCGATAATAAACAGAATATAAGTAATTATTTTTCACACACTGCGGCAATCAATATCCCGTGTTTAAGCTAATAGACTTTGTTCAAGGTGTTGCGACAAAAATAATAAATAAACCAAAGCCACACTGAAGAGTGTGTGCCGTACCCCTCCACGCGTATTAAATGCGAACTATTTCTTAGTGAAATTCGCTGACTTTGAGCGTATCTATCTATCTATCTATCTATCTATCTATCTATCTATCTATCTATCTATCTATCTATCTATCTATCTATCTATCTATCTATCTATCTATCTATCTATCTATCTATCTATCTATCTATCTATCTAGCCGCTTACGTTGAAGTGCTGTCATTGTCACTCCCTTACCTTGGCGTAAACCAAAAGTTTTTTGGGAGGAAAAATGATTTGACGAATGTGACGTGCTGGTCGAGACGAATAATGTCACAATCCCGTCGCGTACGTCGTCAAACACTTCCCGCCAGAAAGTGGCGGGAAGTGTTTGACTTTTGTTTGTTTGTAACACATACCATACTCACATGTGGGTATGTGCCACAGGTGATTGGTACTTTGTATCTGCCAAGGAACGACGAGAACACCCAAGGGCAATTTTTACTCGCGAGCGATAAGAAATACCCGACATCGGTAGCGTCGACTCGACGAATGCAAAGAATGAATGTTAGGGTCCCAGCTGAAGTAGAACACGTGTATGCATGCTGCGTGGTAATGATGCATTTTACCACAGAGCTACGCCAGGTCTCGGAAGTACCTTTCAAATAGACGCTAATCTTCGTAAAATGTTAGAAACAACATTTCATAACATTTATTTATGCAAGCTCAATTTTAGAAACAATACATATGTACCCTTTTATACAGCCGTGACATCGTGTTCACGCCAATTGTTGTCAGTTGCTATATATTGAAGTTGATTTATGTTAGCAGTGTCCAGAGCCAGAATCTTTGCAAGCATCAGCGCTTCCTGTCAACTGCTGGTGTTGCTAATACGCATATTCCAGTTGGCATCGTTGCACAAGTGCCAACAAGTGCACCCACCTTCAACTCCTCAACATATTCTTCTGCGTGCGACATTTTTACATATATTTAGCGTCGTTTCATGGCGTGTCCGTGCTAAAACCGTGCTGTAAAAAAATACAGCACGGTCACCTTCCCTCCGCATAATTCGCATAAAATTGATTCCCAGGTACGTGGGACCTGCCGAATTTTTTCATTGATCTTCCTAAAGCCAATTGCCTTGCGCACACTAGATTTGTCTAAGTTTGCTGACATCTAGATAAGACACTGCCAACTCTTTTGTGGGAACCACCTGTTTACGTAATAGCCGCAGTTGTTTCTGGTGACAGTGAACAGCACTTGACTATAAATACAATGGATGAGAATGAAACAGAATTCTAACTGCCAATGTTACCTTTGAAAACTTGCAGTTTAACTCTGACAAAATCAGGAAGCCGAATCGAGGAATTCGTTTTACTTGTCTTTACCATTCCGAATGCAGGTTTATTATTTCTTTTCACTAGTGGTAGCTCTTCTGCACACTACTGTGAAGACACTTACCATGAAATTATACACGAAAGAAGCATGTTGTTAAATTGCTCCCCAGGGCCAACTTCTTTCAGGACATTCTCTTTTCAAATCAGGACAACGCGTTTGTGTCACCATTGCTAGTGTTTGTTCTCTCTTCAATTCTACGCTGTTTTAGACATCTACAAGGTTAAAGTGGAGGAGGAGTAGGTAGAAAAAGGTAAGGCAGGAAGGGTAACCAGGTGAGCGTCCGGTTTGCTCTCCTACACCGGAGAAAGGGGATTGATGGCAGAACGGAGAGAAATAGAAAGGAAGATAAAAAAATTACCCCGTATCTGCATGTACCACTGCAAATGTCGTCGAAAGACTATAGTCTTGTGTGTCGAGAGAGTGAACAAAACGTTTATGTTTATTTGATGTTTTGTGCGAGAAAATCGGTGAATTGTATTCTGGAAGCGCTGCGTTAGAAAGTCTCGATCCGTGCAGCGAAGACTAGTGAGCACATCGAGGCACGTTAGACACGAGTGCCATCTGGCAGTTATCTTCTAAACGAAGGAAGGCGTGCGCACGCCCGCGTAAAAAGATGCGTGCCTGTCTCGTAGGCGATAAGAAGTAGAACGCAAAGCGATGGGCAGATCCCATCAACGTGTCGGCTTAGCAAACCGTTGGAAACACTTGCCTTTTTGAGCATCGTGTTGCCCAGTAAGCGCAGTGGGATAAGCGCTACGGCCTTTACAATTACTTGTGTGTTGCCTTCTCTAGTATAAAGGCACACATACAAAACATGTTGTTATGCTGTCTCAGATATGCGCAATATTTGATTTTTAACTGATAATCACGCAAGTATGAACGCTGAAACTTGAGCAATATTGGTGGGCGCTTATAGGGTTGGCAGTTTGAGGTACCGTTTGGTGCCTTTAGGAGGATCATTACCGCGGACAAACATACGTACAGACAAACAGAAAAGCAGACAGACCAAAATTTTGGCATTGAAGGTCCCCAAGGAAGATTATCATAGTAAAAACAGCTAGGTGAGTTTAAGCTAGACTGCTGCGTTCGATAGTAGTGGACGCAGGACTTAAGACATATCACGGTTCCACCGTACGTCGTGGGTTCATGATGCTTATTAAAGACTTGTAAGCAGGGCACGAAGAAGTTCCAGTACCTGTTGTATGGCCTCAGTGTGTGGCGATTTCAACCTGCTGACAAACACTTGAAGTGTGTCGAGGAGTGAGTGAAGAACTATTAGGACAGGTTTTTCTTCTGGCAACGCCGAGGTGCGTTGTGAATCAGCACGGCGCTGCGACTTTCGCAACGGAGGCCAAACTGTGTCAGTTGTGTCTATGGTGGTCGTGTTCGTATTGACTATCGTTGATTCATGTGACTGTAGCTTTGGCAATGTAGGCCATGTGGAGTCCGCAGAAACCACGCTTTTCACGGCGTTCTGCTTCATAGCAGCTGAGTATAATCTGAAATTATGGAAGAGCATTGCAAAGAAATGCACTAATGTCAAAATCACACAAACACTTTGTTTTTTCTGAATTTTCATGAAATCAATATACAGTGCGGAAAAAATATGAGCGATGTTGAAAGAGTAGCTAAAAATGATATGCTGAAGCCTAAATTCTCTAAAACTGTCCAGTCAAGATTATAAAGTAAAAATACGATGGCTGGGTTTAGCACGAAAGCACGCGTTTTGAATTTTAAACGAACACTCTGCGATAATTAGACTATTGTGTTACTTTCCCTTAAAAATGTAGCAACCTTCTCAATTTCTCAACACAATATTAGGACGAAGGATGCATCATTGTTGTTTCAAGTTATGCATTCGTATATATCTGCATATAATATAAGCTGTGTATATCAGGTCGCCTTTACTTTAATATAAACCCGACACAATTAAAAAAATTTAACGCAGACTTATTAGTTCATACCTGCCAAGCAACACTGCGTGTATGCATGTGGAGAGAGTAGCATGAAACGAACATGAGTCGCTCTCTCCCTCACAGAGCACAGTTCGCCGGGTGTGTCGCATTTACTATATCCTTGCTCGCACACAACCAACTTTAATTTTTGTGCCAGTCTTGTTAAAGGGCCTCTCACCAGCTTTAGAAAATGAAGGAAAATACATTATTTTGGGGGGCATTTCTCTACTATCACAAAGTGGTGGGAAGAGAAAAGTGAGCCCGGTAAATGTGTGCTTCAGGGAGCGACACCTCAACAGTAGCTCACAGGGATGGGGGTGAGGAGGGAATAAAAGGATAGGAATAAAGGTGTAGAGAGAGAGAGAAAGAGAGATGAGGTAAGCCAGAGAGCGACGACACTTCGAGGGGATAGGAGAGATAGGAAATATGGAAACATGGTCACAGGAGTCCGAGGATGGGGCACCACTTGCGAGAGCTCTTGTCGGCGTCAGGAGACGGCGTAGGGCAAGTCCGGTTGGTCAGAGCTGCGCTGTCGTCAAAGGTCAGCGTCAGGAGATGACGTAGGGCCAGCCCAGTTGGACAGAGCTACGCTGACGTCGGAGATCGCGAGGGCACAACTGGTCGGCACGGAATCCAGCGAGCGAGTGTATACTTTCGTTAAGCAAACGCAATAGTTCTAGTGGTGTTTAAATTGTACTAGCTCTTGATCGGACACAAAATATAAAATGTGAATTATGTCCTGCACTGCATCGCTATGCACCCGCCCATCCGTTTTTCCTTGTTTCGCATGACTATGGAAGGAACGAAGGAAGCAACAAAAGAGAGAAGGCAGGGAGGTTACACAAATTTCACTTCATTTCGTGTGGTATATAACGAGTAGCTCCACGTCATTGTGGCGATTGGAGTGATGCAGACGAAATGCCAAGTTTGGTGTGTTTGTCTTTATATTGCTGTAACTTGCGATGATTAATTAACGCTGAGCTTGCTATGGCAAACCTCTCAGCTACAGTAAGTTAAATGCCAGGTAAGTACGTTTCTATTTAGGTAAGTATACGAAGACGAAATAGCAAAATAAGTCAGATTATCGAGCTTGTTGCGATTTTGCAAGCCAAAAGTAGCGTATGCAGATTCTTTCATCCTATACTCATATGCGCACGATTGAGTGTTTTTTTTTCGGGTGCTTCATAGGAACGTTTTGTTACATGATGACTAACGCCATATTTAGTAATTATTTGCAATCTCGTAGCGTTAGAGGCATTTGTTGAACAAGTTATGAGGGAAAGTTTAGGTAAATGTAGTGAAGGGATCAAATGAGAACAGCCGAATCATGACACGTTAGTGCAAACTGGCATTGAGTCAAGAGGAAGTGTTTAAGCTTTTTTGGTCGGAAAGAACATGCATAGTCTAAAGATTATTTCAACTTAGCAGAATACCTCTAAAGCAACGGTGACCGACATGTCACCGCAGCATGTGCGCTGCGACTTGATAGGAAAACCTAATTTTTTTCTCACCTGCGAGATGGGTGAGCAAAAAGAAAAAAAAAATGGCAGGTCAGATAAGATTACACAAAGTCAAACGTCGTTTTCAATGGCAGCTTTTAATTGAGTATTACAAATTATGACAGCTGTTTTAGGAGAAAGAGAATTCCCTTATTTGATCGTTACAATAACATTAGGGCAACGACATTTCTCTTTATGCAGTGAAATCCAAATGCTGAATACCTGTAGGTGGTGGGTATTATACCGACGTTCCTGTTTATGAGCTCTACAATGTACTAATTGATTGATTTGTGGGGTTTAACGTCCCAAAACCACCATTTGATTATGAGAGACGCCGTAGTGGAGGGCTCCGGAAATTTTGACCACCTGGGGTTCTTTAACGTGCACCCAAATCTGAGTACACGGGCCTACAACATTTCCGCCTCCATCGGAAATGCAGCCGCCACAGCCGGGATTTGATCCCGCGACCTGCGGGTCAGCAGCCGAGTACCTTAGCCACTAGACCACCGTGGCGGGGCGTACTAATTGAAGTATCACCACATATATTTGGAGGACTTTTAAATGAAATAGTCGCCGAAATGCGCCCATGATTGCAGTTTACATTAGCATGTGTGCAGATCTTCAAAATGTGGGAACTATTAGCGAGGCTTATAAGTCGGCACCTAAATGTATCTAGCCCAAAATATTCAATGGCAATGGCTCTTAGCAGTCCTTGCGACGGGACCGCTTATGATGTTTTCGAAGGGATGATGGAGCCTTTCGTGCGACGAAACCATGCAGGAGATACCACTCGTTATTCTAGTAAATTAGCACAGAAGAGATAAAGAGAATTTGCGCTATTTTTGATGATGCATCAGGCTTAGTTTGTTATTGAGGCGTTAAAGCAACCGAGGTTATCTTGGTCAAAATGTTGGCTTGCCGCGGTGGTCTAGTGGCTCAGGTACTCGGCTGCTGACTCGCAGGTTGTGTGATCGAGTCCCGGTGGTGGTGGCTGCATTTTCGATAGAGGCAGAAATGCTCTGGGCCCACATGCTCAGGTTTTGGTGCACGTTAAAAAACCCAGGTGGTCAAAATTTTCGAAGCCCTCCGTTACGGCGACTCTCATAATCTTATGATGATTTTGGGACGTTCAACTTTACATATATAATTATCTGTCGTAATCAGAATGTTGCTGCAGTTCCTGGGATGGCACCTGACCCTGCGAATAACTCAAAAATTGCCTCCGAAAGTTTTTTTTTTCTCCGTGGGAACAGGTATCTTCAAATCTATGAGACGTATTTACGCAGTCCATTGTCTCGGCGGAACTCCATTTCAGAACAAGAGCTTTTTTACATTTCAGCTGACAAGCGTCCTGATATATGCCTGTTACGACCAGAGCCTGGAATATGCCCCGAGACGGAATCAATGACGCAGTGGTTCTTTGACAGCAGCATGGGAGCTTGCACCACTTTTACGTACAACGGATGCGATGGAAACGATAACAGGTTTTCATCTTGCCAAGAATGCATGGAACAATGTAAATGTAAGTGCTTTGTAACCATCGACGCATTCGCCTTGTAACTCAAGTGAATTCTCGTGGCGTGCTTACAAGGCACAATTTTCACTCTAATTACTTGAGTCACCTTGTCAATTGTTTGTTAGATCCATATCAACAGACGCCTTGAAAGCATCACCACATTTCACTGCTGACGTTCTGGTTGCAAGCCTAGAAAATGCATGTACGACTGCAGTCAAGATACGTTGCCTACCGATAGGCAGTATGCTGCAAAGCTTACTGCGTTAATAATTGTGATCTTCGCGACTGCAGTGTAAAAGAAGTTGACATCATCACTACTCACCTCATTCACCATAACATAAGGCTCTTTGCTCTTTTGAGAGTGTTGGAAATTTGGTGCGCCTAAAGCATCCTTCCGATACCTGGGCGGTAAAATTTGGGGTTACAATGTTGTTACAATCTGCTATATATGAAGCTTCTTCAAAAAATTCATTCTGCTACTCGATAATAGAGTACCCCTATATGTCTCAATGCATATTACGAAATTCAGGAGGTTATGAGACAAACACAACATAATTCAATCGTATGACCAATTCACACTGGGCACATCATCAGCGTTTGTTTAAATAATTAGCTGTACCAGGTCTCGGATGCAAAATAAGATATATCAGGGGAATAGGAGATGCGTGCTTGGGGGCGTAACCTAGTCAGCATTTGTGTTAAAAGTGGAAAAAACGTGAGATGACGTTGTCTTCATCATTTTGCGTATCGTGACCTTTGCCTGTGATGAAGCCTGTCATTTCATCTGAAGTGGTTTTCATGCATTCAATACTAGCGAAAACACGTGGTAGTTCCTTGATCCAACCATTCTCCACACACTTCGCTCCACACCACAATAACCTTTTCAACTTCAAGTTGGGGAAATTTTTAACCTTCTGCGCTACGCTGTGCAAGGTTTGAAAAAGCGGCGCTTGAAGATTCTAAAGAAAACCATGGTTATTTCTGGGTTCTCTTTACGTGTTATCTAGACCATGCCGATCGTTGTTTCTAGGTTGATTTTTAGATCACTGCTAGGTTTTAGCTATAGGTGATGCTAGAGTGTTTCTACAGTGATTATTAGGGCATATAAGTTTGAGTAAAACGACCGACAGCTACACACATGACACAGACCCGTTGTTATTGGCATAGGCCTTTCATCGGCAGACACCGTTGATTTCCTGTTAGCTAAGATTCTCTCTTTGGGCGTATTCGGGCTTTTGATGTCTCTGCAGCAACTTCTCTGTAACTTGAAGGCTAACCGTTCTTTTCCACATTTTATTGGACCATCGGTGAGCACTGATATTTATGCGATTTGTGGGGCGCATGCCAGATAGTCATAATGCTAGATCTGTAGCACGAGGCGAACAACCAACACTTTGCTAAACGCCATCACTGTAGAAAACGCAAGGTCTGCGCCGAACGTACTGCGCACAGCGAAAACTGGATGACCTCGATTTCCAAGCACGTTTTCAAGTGTTTGGGGGCGAAAACTTATGGTTGTAACGATAAAAAGCGGCAACAAAGCGCTGGCTCTCGTGCTCACCAAGCGCGAGAAGACGATAAATAAATACGAGAGAAAAATCGAGGCACTCTCACACCTGCACTTCACACTGGAATATGAATGATGTCCCAGGCGTAAATTGGAAGTCTTGATAACAAAGTTACGTTGCCGTATACCACCTCTTAATTTCTACTTAAACAGGTCTGGTCTGGTGCCATCCCCTCTGTGCTCAAGCTGTAACGAACCTGAACATATCAACCATTTTCTTATCACATGTCACCGTTTCACAAATCAAAGAATAAATTGCTTTGAAATTTTAATAAAAAACTAGGAATATCACTTAATGTTCCCAATCTTTTGTCTTTTGGGGCCGCTTCATTGGAACACGGTGACCGGAACATCTGCGGGGCTCTCTGCGAATTCTTATATAACAGAAGAAGATTACCTTGCTGAGTCAGTGATCAGCTCTCGAATTTTACTCGCCACACTACCATTTATTATTTAGCTGATACACTGAAATGATTCCACTATCAGAAGAGTTTTATATAACTATTACATCTCAAATATTCAACAAATTCTATTATTTCTCTCCCCCTTTTTTTCTGTTTTTACATTACGCCAAAATAATTTCACAGTCAAAAAATATTAATCATATTTCTCTAGTCTAGAAAACCTAAAGGTATTGACTTGCATAACCACCGGCTTCTTGGCCAATCCCCCTTAGTGGGTGAGAGCCACAAAAGAAAGAAACAAGCAAGCAAGCAAGCAAAACAGCCGGCACAGCATACAGGCATTGCCTCTTTACTCTCTTAAACACAGGGTTTTGGCAACGTCCTATTACGCCGCAAATCATTGTAATATTTGTTGTATAGAGAGCACCCACTAGGCGATAGCTTATTATTGCCCTGGCAAGGCCCATAACCGCTACTCCACTGTAAGGCATCATGTGCCCTTTGTTATTACTCTAGCCACCGGTGACAATATATAGGTACGTGTAAGCCTTTATGTCATGAATAGGATTATCTCGATTGCCTTATTCTTCTTTCTTAGTTCGCATTGTGTAATGCGTGGTTTTATTGTACTCTTCTGGGACGCTTTATACTATGTTAACGCGCTTTCTCGCCCGACATGAAACATCTATCTCTTGCATCTCTTACATCGAAAGCTGTTATGAGATCGCAAGAGTGGCCTACTGCACTTAGAGCTATAGGTCGCAATTCTCTAAATTAGTAAAATCGATTTCGCGCTTACCATTTTATATTTCGTTACATGTACAATATAGTTTGACCCATGTCCCCTAGTCAATAATTTTTGTGGCGAATCCCCCACAGTTGGCGTCATATACATATAGGTCATTATCAACATCATCATCACCGCTGGTGTCTATCACCACTATGACGTGAAATTGCAAAAAAAAATAGTAAGAATAAGGTGTGAAAGAGAAGACGAGATTCTAGCCAGCGCCCGCAATGTGGCAGCCCGGTATCCTACCACAAAGCTGAGCCGGTGTTTGCGATATCTTCGCAAATAGACGCTATGCAGTCTTCATGTCGTGCAATCAATCAGCATAGCTTGTGTTGTATACATAGTGCTTTGCAGAAAAAAATACTAGCCAAGCATCGCAGAGTGCGAAGTGCGTAACGAGTTTGTCATTCATGGTTTACAAGCTATCAGCAAATGTGCAACAATGTTTCTTAACCATCAGCCACCACATTATTAGCGTGGTCATGGTGCTTTTAAGGTGTGTCACAGGTACAAGAGTTCCCCGGCGAATATAGCATATTAGATGTTTCCCTACTACACTAAAATTATGATGTATGGCGCAGTGGGGACTTCGGCAGTCTGCTTGTGTTGGCTACCCAAAGAATCACATTACCTTGTCGAATAATGCCTGGTAGACGAGTAAAAAAAAGTGACCTCAGACCATATGGTGTCAAGTGCATCACTTTTAGACCGTTTCAAGCTTTCACCAATGACAAAGAGCTCTGCCATATTTAGAGAAAAAATATGAATTTAGCGTGTCAACAGTAGAAACAAAATTCAAATTGACGCCGCCAGTAGTTGTGGGAGAAAGGTGGCATAAACAGCCCAGCGCTTCAGTGCAACGATGTGTGCCTTCCGAATCTACTTGTGGCATATGAATATTTGGTGTGCTTGTGCTGCAAATATTTTGTTTCTTGAACTTTTATGAAGCCAATTTTCGACGCCTGTACTAACAATACCAACTTAAAAAAGGCGGCGGATATTTCATCAACAATGTACGGCTCAAAAAAAGTTTGTGAGTGGCTGTCCTGGGGTTTATATTGTTGATTAAAGAGTCGCAGATTTGATTGAACGTAGAACGACAGACAAAAACAACAGTTCAGCTGAGATTGTTTTAGAGAGCAATTGAAGGACTACGTTGCCCGCACATCGAAATTACTTTAAGAGGGCTTGCCTGACAATAACCAATGTGACAAATTATGTTCATGAATTACAAAAGCTTGTTAAGTTATAAATTGCTTCTATGCGTTTTGCGGGTTCTCCTGCATACAAGTCGTGTGATTTTGGGGGTTCTCCGGCTTACAAGTTGTCTTCCAATTGTGAAAGTAGGTACGGTCAAAGCACTTATATTCATTTATACTGCGTATTTGGCTCTTTGTAACTTCCACTAAAAATGTGAAGGAAATGCAATCTCTCTATTTTTCAGAAACGCCTAATATCAATCAATCAATCAGTCAGTCAGCCAATTAATAAAATTTTCATTTCCAGGATCTTGTTACAATTTTTGCGGGGTCCTTCACTCGAAAAACTGTTGCAAACAGCTTGCGACATAACTAATGCGAATATGCATTAAGCATGTGAGACAACCCTAATCTTATTTGCAGCTGATATATGTGCTGCACCAAACAAGCACTGATGACACCAGCAGCATCTCTTAAAAGCCGTGGAAATATACGATTGCGGTAAGTACCAACTTCAAATATTGGGACGATCTTTTCATACAATGGTTCCAGTAGCAGCACCTAGCCATGTTAAAGGTAGCCTAGATCACAGAAGCATTATTCAAAAATACTTCACTAAAGTAACATCGCAAGTGTAAGTACGTTCTCAAGAACTGTAGGGAAAATTTTTGTCTTAATTGTGCGCTTAGAAAAAGCATTCCTGTTTTACAAAAATATTTTTTGCGAGTTTTAAGCTCTTTGTTGATGGCGTTTGTGTAAATTGATTTTCTTGTTCGATTTCTTTCACTTTCAGTTGCGGACACCTAATTCTGCTGCAAAAGATAGCTGTATTGCTCACTTTCAGTCAAATGTCTTACCTGTATGCAGCAGAACTCTTAGCCATAGAGATCTTCCCGCTTGAGACTTCAAGTCCCGAACAGCGCCATAATTCCCCCGAACAGCGCCGTTGACTGAACTTTCAAGAGAAAATAAAACACTGCAGATACTTTCACCATTGTCATTTTCAAAACATACATAGGCAATTTTTAGGCATGATTGCCTTTACGGGAGCGTTACCGCAAGTCACTGGCTTATGTCATACAGGAAACACTGAATGTTACGTACAAACTGTTAGCCTCTTTGGGCAAAAGCAAATAATTTCGAACGCTCTGCAAATCTGGTAAGGTGTAACTTTTCTCGCAGATTTCTTATTGTATGGATTAAACATGTGTTTAGGTGACTATGTTTCGCTAAAAGATGGAACAAACAACAAAAATTATATAGGCACTAACAGAGGGAAAAAAAGCCGGAAGAAAAGCATATGCGCGATAAAAAAAATGTTAACTAGAATGTGTACAGCGGGAGTAATTTAGCCAATTAAATTGATACCATTACAGCAATGCGGCAATATTTATGAAAATGAGAAGGTATGCACTTATTGTGTAACGCTGCTAGTACTTGCTACAAGTGCGCGAGCAAAACAAAATCGAGGCATATCTCTAAAGTGAATGATGATCACTGGGTGAAGCCGTGGGATGGTTTATTATTAATGAAAATCACCCAAAATGAGTGGCTAAGGCGCTCGACTGCTGATCCGAAGGTCGTGGGTTTGATCTCTTCCACGACACTCGCAATTCTGTAGGGACGAAAAAGGTTGAGGTTCGTGTGCTGTGCGATATCAGTGCTCGTAAAGAACAACAGGTGGTCAAAATTTCTAAAGTCCTCTCCTAGGCAGAAGATTGCGAAATATGGCAGTGGAACTGCCGTGGCTTCTGGCGAAAAGGAGGGCAAGTGTTGCAGCTGATGGCGTCACGACAAAGGCCAACTGCTGTCATAGCAGCCCAGGAGGCCGGACCACAACCAAGAATACAAGAGCTACAAGACTTGTAGTACTGTGGTGTGATTCTGCGCGTTTAAAAAGTGCACACCCCTATCAGCCAGAAGAAGATGAAGATAACGCTCGGTTGCGGCACGTGTGGACGTGAACATTTTGCTCTAATGAGGCAGTAATTTTGTCGTTTGGCAGCATTAAATTCGGGAATAGCAACAGGGACGTCTGCTCTGTGGTATCTGAATACATAATTGAAACAAAGCGATTGCCATGTTGATCTGCCTATATATATATATATATATATATATATATATATATATATATATATATATATATATATATTTATATATATATATTATTTAGACCCAACATTACCTCTGTCTCAAATTGCATCTGATAGCGTGCATCGCTTCCTGCTCAGATATACTCCTTTTTTCAATTTCGGCTTTTCTTTCAATATATTTTTTCAGCCCAAAATTACGTTGTGTTTGAAAAACCATAAGCTTTTTAGTTAAGATCCTGCGCCCGGTTCTTGGCCGATCACCCTTTGTGGGTGTGTGCCAGAGTATCAAGGATCATCATCATCATCATCATGTAATGAGGTTCCTCCACGGAGATATAGGAGAGCCACTGGAGAAGAACAGAGAAGCTATAAGAAGACGTGGCTGAGTCGGGACCGAGTGAAGGAGGGGGCCAGGGCGCGGGAGTGGCGGCCAGCAGAGCTCCTGCATCAAGGTCCCAGTGGTCTCCCACCTGGGCACAAAGCTTCTTCTCGTCACCTGACATGGGCCAGGCTTGTTCTGGTATTGTGGCGTTGGCCAACAAACGTCTCTGGCTTCATGTGCGAGCTGCGGCTGCCGAACGCCGAAAGGTCATTCACTTCGACCAGCCCGACACTTCCTTTCGTGCCAGTCAACCACGTGAGCGTCTGAAGCTAATCGCCAGTCTTTCCCCGGCTGCATGAGTGCATCTTCACCGTTACTCGGTCACATCAGTTGCAAGCCCCACATCACCGCTTTCACCATTAGCATGAATGCGGTCATGACTTGATAGCAGAGCCTCCGCTGCAAGCACCGCGTCCCGCTAGGTTGTGAGAAGGGTTATCTTCCACTGAACATTTATTTCCATGCACTGTTCACGTCTTTCACCGTTTGCTGTTCTTGCTAACGTCTTTCTAGTTATGCATGCTGTGTTCTTTGTCTTTTACTTGCCTTTTAGGGGTTTCTGAAATATATTGAGTGTTCGGGATTTGGGTGGAAGCAAATGGTCTCGTCAGCTCATTTCCCGATGATGGTTATGTCATCGGTGGTTCTCTGTTTACACGAACCTACACGAGTGCTTGCCCATTAAACGGCCTCGTGGCAATTGGCGTCCGGCGACAAGACGAGACTATGCTTCCCACTTACCTCTCCAGACTGGAACATGGCCATGAGTAGGGCGAACCTAGAGGAGTGTGCAAGACGCATGGGTCTAAAAGGCGATGAAATGGAGGCTTGATGTGAGGAACACGAGAGGTGCATTCACAAGGAGAGGGAGGAGAAAATGGAGTTTGAAATAGAACTGAGAAAGAAGGAAAGTGGGATTGAGGAGCTAAGGCAAAATGCGCGCGAGAAAGAAAAACAGCTTGAACTGAAGACACGCGCGAAGAAGGAGCCGCTTGAATTAGAGAACCAATACCTGCAATTGCGTCTTAGACTTGCCGAAGCAAGGGCACTAAAAGGTAGAAACTGGCGGGAGGAACATTCCTATCTGAGTTCCAGAGAGCCGATAATATATTTGTTTTCAAGTGGTAGGACTTTTATGCGTAATTCAGTGTCTCTTTTCGATGGCAGACTTGAGAACGCCTGTGATGGAACTTTAGGCAGAGATTCCCTACAGGTGGACGGCAGAGTCGAAGGGAAGAGCGAGGGTGAGACCAGTCGAGGTTTGGTGACCGGGATCAATATGGCTTCGCAGGAAGTTTCAGAAAAAGGAGAGTCAAGTTCTCTATATAGCCATGTGGCTTCACGAACTGGTGCAACCGAATGCGTAGTTTTAGAAGAGGTATGGAGTTCTCTAGACAACCCTGATGAAAGGGCGGTTGACGTGCGCATAGAGTACATCCGAAAACCAAGGGGCAGTCTCTAGAAGAGATGCCGATTCTTCCGGTGCACGAAGTAAAACAAGTAGCAAAGCAAAGATCGTATGTGTTGTTGACGACTCTAAGGCGGTAGCCGTAGAGTCATCCTGCGTATCACTGCCAGATGTAAGCAGTGGCACAGGCAAGGTGGAGGAACTTACAGTTATCTCGCCTCAACATGGCGTAATGATTACGTCATGTCAAAATAAAGATTGTAGCGTTCCATGAGAAGAGCAAGAAACGCCTACGAAATCATTCAGTTTAAAAAGCAAACGTGAGTCAGATAAAGGAGCAAGTGACCTGTGTGCAAGCCAAGCGGAAAACTCAGAGAGAGTTGTACTGCCTGTCTGCGTGCAGCCAGCTGTAGTGACAAATGCTGTTGGTATGGCTGATGACCATGTGGGTAAGTATCTTATGAGCAGACAGAAGTTCATATTTAGCTCCGAGGAGATTCACACAAGTGACCTCACCAAAAGAGCAGAAACACCTGTCTAGGTGTGTATGGCAGTGTCACAAGTGAAGCCAGTGATAAGCGATGAAGATGAATGGCAGGAGGGCCAAAACATAAAGGTCGACTGCATTCACACTAAAACTGCTAGCCTTGCAGGAAGTGATAAGACTATGGCAAGCTAGCTCCACTTCAGTGCTCTTTGAGCAATGAGAAAGCTCCGATGCCTTCTGTGGCGTCAGCTGATCAGCAAAACGTTCAGGTTACAATTTTTGATGCCTCAAAAACTTTGGGGCCTGGACGGGGCGATGACGTGACCAAACAGGGCAGTGGAGCGTTCCAGACCGCTAACACTTGCAGAATACTACTACTGTTGTTGTCCAAGGAAAGCCGCACTAACGCAATCAGCTTGTTGAACTATCAGATTACCCTGAGGCAGAACTACAGGCATGTGTCTGATCGGAAACGCTACAAAGCTTTAGTTTTGCACGCGAATGAAGAAACAAATACGTTTTTCGTCTGGTGTGGGACGCTGTAACCTGAGGGTCGAGTTTAAATAACTGGTCACTGCCTCTAGATTTAGCCCAAATAACAAGGACTTACATCGTTTGTATATATAATGGGTTTGCAACTTTATTTCACAACGATTGTGATTTTCTTAGTTTTGGGCAGGACGCTGTAGCTTGGCTGTGAACTGAGTACTAGACTTACAGGAAATTTTGTCTGAACGTGCACGGTATAAAAAGTATATTGATTGTTAGACTGTAGTGACCATTGAGCAGGATATTTGCTGTTTGTGGTGAAACGCGCACTCATCTGCAGTTTTTTCATTACGGAAAAAAACTTTTTGAAAGGGGGGCTTTTGTGATGTGATTGTGCATGTTTAAAAAGTGCGCCACCCTATCAGCCAGAAGAAGATTAAGATAACGCTCGGTTGCGGCACGTGTGGGTGTGAACATTTTGGCCCACCATCCCAGTTTTGCCAGATACTGTTCACGTGGCAGCGCTAAGGTTCAGAAATGCTTGCCTGCAATGGGGAAAAGGCAATTGGGATAAATTCAAAGATTTCGAGCATTTGAGCTATTGCTGGAATAAACAGTGGTATGTATCTCGCCAGTTAAAGGTCACTTATACCAGATTGCGCTGTGCAGTTCCACAACTAAATTATCATGTTAACAAAGCTCGACTCAAGGCGTCACCGCTATGCATTTGGCGCAACGAACTTGAAACAATTGAAGATTTCTTTCATTCTGCCATCGTTATTCTTATAAGGGAAAAATATTTTTAGTAGCCCCATTACAAAAGCTAGAAATACAAGTAAATCTACAAGTATTTTATCACTTGGTGGAACTTCATTTGGATACTGCCACAGGGAAGTATGCTCCACTGTGTTTGATTACATCAACGCAACTAAAAGATTACTGTGCTAGTGAACCCCACCTTATCAGATCTTTAGTTTATATTTCGTAGTTATGTCTATTAAAAAACAAGAGATGGTTTGACCGCTTGCTCAGCAAACATTTTAGTTTTTTTGTAGTATTTCTTTTAAACCACTTTTTCAGATTGGCTTCATTTTCATTTTAGTTTCATTTAAGTATCCTCCCGCCCGGT